AATAGCTAAAAATCCATGCCCTTAAAGATCTGACCTGGTAGGCAGGAGTGACGGCAGCTTAGGGCAACACGTAAAGAACATGTATAAGGTTTATTATAATGTATAGAAGATTTAAACCGAATCACCAGATATAGTTGGGGAGGTTGCTCACTGCACAAGCCTATGCCTGAGACTGCCTATGGAGGGTAGAGTTGCCATTAAGGAAGGTGGGAGGAGGCTACCAGTAAAATTAGGCATTCTGCCTATTTCTTAACTTTGTATTGAAGCATAAATATACAGAAAAATGCAGGAAACCTCAGCATGCAGCTCAGTGCACTTTCTGAAATGGAACCCATCGGTGGAACCACCATCATTATCAAAGAACATCATTGACCCCTGAGAAGCCTCTCAGATGTTCTCTTCCGGTCGTGAATCCTCTTGCTACCAGGCCTTTTAACTGCAGTTACTGTTTTAGCTGATGTCTACATGATGGGAGGCATCCAGTATCTGCTCTTTTACTGTCCGGTTCCTTGTTCAGCTTGTGTTTCTGAGATCCATCGATAGTGTTTGTGTGTGGGCGCTGCCGACTAATTCGTTGTCGCTGCTGAGCTGTAGTCCACAGGGTGAATTCTCCACCGTGCAAGTACACATTGATGGGCCTTGAGGACCCTGCACTGTTTGCTTGACCTGGAGAGCACTGCTCTGAATATGTCGGTGCCTGTCTTTTAGTAGCCAAATGTACGAACATGTGTTAGATGTATCCCTGGATGGAGTGCCGGGCTGTCGTGAGTCGGTGTTAAGTTTTAGTGCACCCTGCCGTGAAGGGCTTGTCTGAAATCATTGTGGGGCCCACCAGCAGCGTAGGAGAGGAGCACAGTTAAAATGCGCGTAAGGATAACAACCAGATAAAAAGTAGGATGAAAAAGAGAGGTCCATTTCTAAAGGAAAATATAAAGCAGTGAATATTGATCCTAACAGGATGTGTGTGATCTTAATATATATATCAAAAAGCTCTATGACTGCTGTTCAGCAATTTCAGTACAGACATGGTACAGCTCGCAAGAGGAAGACAATTGCTATATCTTTTTTTTTTTTTTGACATAACTTTCATTGAATTCTTCAATTCTAAATATGTTTTGAAGAGGATGAATAAAACAAGTTTAACCTTTACCATATAAACACAAACAGCAGGTTACTAAAAACAATACACAAAGATATCATTAATGCAAAATTTTACTACTCAGCAAAATAATTTAATTATTTTTATACCATGGTAAGATAACAGTTACATTAGCTAGTTTAAGCCAATTAGACTTTTTATCCACTGTATCTTTTTTGAAAGTTGCCAAAATTATTTTAAAATTTCTTTGAAAATAAGTGAAACGTCAAAGATTAATGTGGAAATGTGACACATTTTTGTTATTAGATATTAAGACATAATGAAGTGATTAAAATTATAAAACTACAGAAAATGTGCGCAAAATGGTCTAGAACAAAGTAGATAATCTAGAAGTATGTGTAATAATATGAAGAATTTAAGATTTAATCAAGCCGGGCATGGTGGTGCATGCCTGTAATCCCAGCCCTTGGCTGAGACAGAAGATTTGCCCTGAGTTCAAGGCTAGCCTGGGCTACACAGTGAATTCGAGACCATCCAGAATTACCTAATAAGTCCCTGTCTCAAAAAAACATTAAAAAAAAAATTGTGTCAAGCATTAATACAGAGGATGGCATGAAGAGAGATTTTGAATGTGAGGCTCTGCGATAAATATGTTACCTTTGCACTTAATGCTCTAAACAACTCAGTTATGTTAGTATGAGCTTCTCCCATTTTACAGATGAAGAACTGAGTTTTAAAAAGAGCAAGTTACTGAAGGACCCATGGATTTTTTCAGTGGGGGAAGAGGCCTCAGACCAATCTACTTTACAGTCCAGGAGCGGGACATGTCAAAGGAAGACATTGAAGGATACAATTTACCCCCAATAAACCAAAGAAAGGGTTGATATTGGAATGAATATACAAGTGAGAATCAAACATAAATTCTCAAAGAGGCCAGTGGAACAAAGGATCATTTAATACAGAGGTGATAGTAGATCATATGCAATGTCAAAAGAACCACTCAGAGAGGTTAGTAACAGACTGCACATTGGAATAATTCTGCAGTAGTATTTAACACTCTTCTAATTATCAGAGCAATTTTACTGTTTTAATATAGTTTATAAAATATATATAAATTTTGGGGCCAGGGATTTAGCTCAGTGGTTCTGCCGCCTGCCTCACAAGCACAAGATCCGGAGTTCAATCCCCAGTACCCAAAACAAAACAAAACTATACGTATATATACATTTCCCCAAGATGAAAGGATCAGGGAGAATGTTTGATATACTGGGTATCGGCATTCATGGAGGTGTGTGCTGAGAGCTGTGCCTTATCTGTTCAGATGTATGATTATGTTGTGTACACCACCATAAAAAATAAATAAAAACCCACAGATAAGGTAAAAATAATGATGAAATAAAGAACAACAAAAAAGAAACCCGGGTTACATTTTAATAAGAAAATAAAGTAGAAATCATTAGATGCTACTGAGATTAACATTAGCATAAAATATTTACTCTTGCCAGTTTAAAAACATTTAGCCCACAAATCTGAGAATCTCCTTAAGAGCCAAAGCGGTGAGGAAGTTCTGACCATTTACCTAACTCATCGTGGTCATTAAGGAAAAGCAGAGAGACACTTAGAAGGAACACAGCCAGGGCCAGGGAATTAGCTCTAGGACACCGCATCTTCCTTGCAACCACAAGGTCCTGAGTTCAATGCCTGATACCGGGTGAGGGGGAGAAAGAACACAGTCAACACTGGTGCTGAAGCCAGCAACTTCTCCCATAAGTCCTCATAAAGGGATTGTATATGATGTAATAAACAATGTCCTCAACAACATACCTGGACTTATTAAAATAGTGACATCTGAGGGGTGTTTCTTACTTATTTCTCAACATAACACAGGGGAGTAATGCTAAAACACAGTCTCCCAGCTATTTTACCTGGGTTAAAGCTATGGCTCCATATGTAGGCCTCTGATGACTCTAGCTCAATCCTAGAATAAAACTTAGTGATGCTGGAGCAGTGGTTCTTCACTAGGGACAGTTAGCACCAGCTCTGCTCTGGGAAACATTGGCAGGGTCTAGAGACATTTTTGTCATTGCAACAAGGGAGAAGCTGTTTTGGGATGCTGCTTAGCATCCTGGAATGCACAGCGCAGTTCTCCACAATCACAATCACCTAACTCGAAAATTGGCAATTGTTTTCAAGTTGCCAAACCCTGACCTAGAAGAGTGGAATGAAAAACGCAGCATGGACACCATTCCTCACAAATGTTATTTCTGACAACTAACTTGGACAAAGGGAGAAAAAGTACTGGTTTGTATACTTGAAAGATGTAGGTAGGAGGTCTTCTAGGAGTAGAGTAGTTTACCACATCCCCAGGAAATAGGAGCCAGTCCAGGGAAGATTGCTTCCGCTGCCATGGAAGAATTGGCCTGGAAGGTAAAAGGTGGGTTTTAAGTGCTGGCCTGTCTCCTCCACTGGCCCGATTCCATGGAAAGCACCATCCTCTCCTCTGACCTGGTCAATTCCTCCATCCCGTGTGGACGTATAACTCAGGAAGAATCACGCACTATCCAGAGATCTGCAACTACCCATTCGTTCGTATCCTTATACCACCTGTCCGTTGCTCTGCTTGGTGGCTTACTGGTAAACCAAGGAAGAGAAGCCTAAACCACATCTCAGACATGATTCTCGTCAGGTTTTGAATCTTAACGAGTCTTTGACATCGGCCCTACTCAGCAGTGGATGTAGTTGACAGCCATTGCCAAGAAGGCTCTTTCTTTCTATCTGTAGTCATTGGTATTCTCTGCAGGGGGTGAAGGACTTTCTTTCCCTGGTTCCAGTCTGGGAAATCTCTGGGAAGATCTTTGGAACAGCTTTCATCATGTGCCCCAAAACTAATTATTGTGTTTCTACTGGAGAATAGGAAAGTAAGTAAATCCTCAAAAGAATGGGATATTATTATGTCCAGGAAAAAAGTGTGGTGCTTGTCAGGCAAGACACCTAGCTATTCACCACTCGAGGAAAAATGGTCCAAAAACATTTTATAGACTTTTCGTTTAGAAATAACCTTAAACTTTGAGAATAGCTTAAAGGATGGTGCAAAAATACTAGTACATTTATCAAGTCAGATTCATCCGTTGGTAACATTCGGGCACATTTATTCTTTCTGCCCTCACATGTGAAATTTTATTCTAAACCCTTTGAGAGTTAGTTATGGAAATTATGTCAGTTTGCCCCCTGCATGTCTCATTGTATCTTTCCCAAGATCAGGGGCATCCCTTGTGTACTGTATCATTATGTCACACTCAGAATATACAACAGTGAGAGGGCTGGAGATTTAGCTCAGTGGTTCCACTGCCTGCCTCGCAAGCGCAAGGATGCGAGTTCGAGCGATCCCCAGTACCAGGAAAAAAAAAAAAAAGCAACATTGAGCCCATATTTTTCTCTACTATATGACTCAGTTGCGCACTCTTCTCAGAGGATCACACTGCATTCAGTTGTGATGATCCTTAGTCCTCTACTTGGGCCTTCATCACACTGGCATTTTTTTTTTTTTGTACTGGGGATCAAACTCAGGACCTTGGGCTTGTGAGGCAGGCAGCGGAACCACTGAGCTAAATCCCTGACCCCACACTGGCGTTTTTAGAGTATGGGCCTAGTATTTGGTAGCACATCTCTCGGTTTGGGTTTGTATCACGGTTCCTTATGATCAGATCTAGAGATGGTTTGGCTTGGTTTGGTTTCTGGATCTGTGAGACAAAGTCCTCCTTTGTAGTCCAAGCTGGCCTTGGACCTACTGTGTAGCCCAGGCTGGCCTCTATCTCATGGCACTCCTCCTGCCTCAGCCTCCTGAATGCCAGAACTACAGGCCCACACCACGCCTGGCTCGTGATTTGTTTGTTTTTGGCAGAACTGTGATACCGTGGTGTGTGCTGCAGACAGCCTGTACCAGCTCTTCAGAGCCAAATCTCTCGTCTCTTTCCAGTCCAGTGGCTTGGACTCAGCTATGATGGAAATAACCAGCAAGGGCTGTCAATCAGAGCTCCCTCCCTCCACCCAGCTTTCGCACTGTGGAATGTCTGCATTTGCCTATTGTAGGGTGAGTGTGTGCCCTTCTGAGGGCACCTCCTCTGAAGACGCGCGGTGCTGCTGTGTGGTCATGGGTGCTCCCTGATTACCCGACCCAGGTGGTATCTATCAGATTCTCCAGTGAAGAGCTACTGTCTCCCACCTTTTGTTTTTGTTTTTGTTTTTTGTTTTTTTAGAGTGTCTCACTATGTAGTTGAGACTGACCTGGAACTCACTATGTAGCCCAGGCTGGTCTTGGACTCACAGCGATCCTCCTGCCTCAGCCTCCCAAGTGCTGGGATTACTGGCATGCGTCACCACGCCCAACAGCACTCCACTGTTACCAGGGCTGCATGTCATCAGTAAACCATTCAGGGTCATTTTTACACAGTTTACCTGATTCCTGTTTTCTCCCAAAGCATGCTTTTGGAAACTTCCTGGTGAGAGATTGCCCTGGAGTCATAGGAAGTTAACTAGGGCAGAGGAGAGTATAGTGTACCAACTCCCCACAGCGAATGCAATCATTATGTATGGCATATGTGTCATAGTAAAAATAGTAGAAGAATGGAAAAAGCCCTGCACTGGAAGTCTGGATCGCCACACACCGGGGGATGGGATGGTATACCTCCTGTCCCCGAGCTCAGAGCTGTCATCCGTAACACGGTCGGATTATGTTTTCACCAAGTCCCCTCTCGGGTCCTAGAGCTTTATTTTATTCAGTCCTCTTCTGAGGGAGTCGACACTTACAATTTACTTCCTTAGCACGTTGTCTTAGTCAGCTGAGCCAATAAACCAAGGACAATGAGATGTGCAGTGTGCAGCCTGTTGTACCCAGTGAGCTGATGTCTGAATTCCCAGGGCAGCTCGCCGCGCGGGTGCGGTGCCTGGACCTGGCCCTGCTGTGTATCAGCTCAGCGCCTCCAGCCCCCTCACTTCTCTCGCCCCTCTCCTTCTCTGTGTTTAGCCCCATAGTCTGGCCCGTAGCGGCAGAAGCCCATGGCAGGATCTCATTACCTTGTCCTTGGAGGAAATCCTCTCTCAAGTATTAGCTTGCCCAGTGCCTGTAAGGTTACCTCTGTTGCCACGGTTGAGAGTAAAAGAAAAGAAATCCATGGGGCCAGTCTGCAGCTTCCAAGGAACTTTTGCCCTTCGGGCACGAACTGTTAAGAGCTCTTTCAAAATCTTTGTTAAATGTCACCAAATGAAATTGATGAGAATTAGGCAAATGTTATTCTTAGTTGACTTACTCTTAATTGCTGCATTGTTTAGTGAACAAGTCCAGTGATACCAGCAATCTGTATTGGGGTTCAGAATTTGCTGTCATTGCACGAAAGGTTAGGTGGGGACAGAGGGCTTTAGAAAAATATGAGGGCCTGGCATGGAGGCACATACCTGTAATCCAGCACCCTGGAAGGCTGAGGCAGGAGGAGTGCAGGTTTGAGCCCAGCCTGTGCAGCTTAGCGACTTAGCAAAGACTGGTTTCAAAAGAAAAGATACAGAAGGGATGAGGATCTGGCACAGCGCAGAGGCCCTGGATTTGATTCCCACCCCCATTCCCCCCAAAAGTGGGGCGTTGCCGAACTATGCATTCTCTTCTCTTCCTGGCATGAGATTTTGAACGACCCCCCTCCTTCACCCCACTCCAGCCTCCCCTGCCAGGGTGTGGTTGGGTCGAGGGGGGTGGGTTACTGCACCCCACGCCTTTGGAACTGTCTGAGCCTGGTACTCTGCGCGATTCGCTTCTCATTTCAGCATTTTTAATATTTGATGCCCCTCCCAAGATGGAGAATTATTTGGCAACTTCTGAAAGATTATCTGCTTTGGGTCTTTTTATCTGCCTGCTAACCCATTTACTAAATTGAAAAGTTGGTGTTTCTTCAGATGACTCATCTGAGGCTCTGAGGAGGGGAAGGGCGTCGCTGAGGGGTCCCTGGAGTTGAGAGAAGATTTTCACTTATTCATCTTTAGTTTTTGTTTTTAAGTATTCCCCAGATGATGCACTTTTTCTCTTTTTTAACCTGTCATGACAAATTTGACTTTAAACTTTGAATTCCAGCCTAAGTGAAACTCAGGGATGCTTTTGAGTTCCCCTCTTCGCTCCCTCCTACTCCGGGAGATTCTTTTTCTTTGAACCTGAGGAATTTAACCTCTAAAATTTCATCTGATCAACGTCCACCTCACCTGTTGGATTAAGTGTTGAATCATCCTTCGCCAGATTAGATGTCTGCCTCTCGCTGGACAGATAGGAAGATTCCAACCAACCTGGCTGATCTGTGATTTGATTATCGGTTCCTGGAGGTGATAGGTGAGCTTTGAATTCCAAGGCCAGGGTCTGACCACTTTGGAAACAAAGACCTTCAAGCAGATCCTCTGCTTCAGGTTTCAGAAGGTAGGCTTGTGTGTTAGAGGAGGAAACTAATTTGTTTTCATTTTGTAATATCGGAGAAACATGAGTAATTATCACTTCTAGCACTGTAATCTCCAGGGTTCTCTGTTTATTTTAGTTTATGGCTTATATAAGATTTATTATTAGGTTTTTTGAGAACCCTAATCAAATCACTTAGAACCTGAGAAATAAGCTTAATCCTTTCTGAAGTTCTCACTGACGATAACTACCTCTGTAAACCTCCCCACTGTACCTTTATTGAAAGCTACTTACTTACCACCAATGTAATTGGGAGAAGTGGGAAATGTCCCAGCTCAAATTCAGCAGGTAGAAGGCAAGAAGAAAGAGAGAGTACAGGGCAATTTCCAGGCCCAAGAGTTCCATTGCTTAAGGCATCTGCATTTTCAAGAACAAATTATACTGGACTTAGCCAAGGAGAAGAGCTTGGTGGAATTGTTTTTGTATATGTAATTCTCACAAGTTCACACTCACACACACACATACACATTGTCACACAGACCACACACACACACACACACACACACACACACACACACCATACATGTATGTATGTCTCCAACCCTGTATTTGAAAAATAAGAATCCCAAGCCAGGTGTGGTGGCACAAGCCTGTAATCTTAGCACTCTGAGAGGCTGAGGCAGGAGGCTCACAAGTTTGAACCCAGTATGGGCAACTTAGAGATTTATGAGGCCCTGTCTCAAAATTTTAAAAATATATTAAAGGTGTAGCTCAGTGGAGAGGCCCTGGGTCTAATCCTGCACCCCCCACAGTCCCACACCCTGCAAATCCCTATACCTGGCGGTATAGTTGTAACACTGCACAATTCGGTATTTATGCACATAGTCGCCACCTTGGAAGGTCTGAGTACTGACAGGCAGTGCTCTTCCTCACCCACATGTGATGCCTCCCCACCAAGCAACATTCTTATGAACCGAGGCCTAGGATTGCAGTTTTTTCTTGGGGATGCTGGAGAATGAGAAGATAATATGATAAGAAATAATAAAAGCATTCATCTGAATTCATTAGAAAGTGTCAGAATCTTGGTTTTCTAAGCATTTTCTGTGACTGGTTTTTAAGGCCTCCCATTTTATCTAGAATGAACAAATACGAACTCCATAACACGTCGTGGACACAGAGGTGAATTTATGTTTTAATAATATTTGTATTGTTTGTATGTGTGTTCTGAAGTCACCATGCTGAGATGAAGAAAAAAACATTATCTCAGGAAAACCCATAACAAATGAATCTAGTACAATCTGTGGAGCTTAAAAATGAGTGTGCAGAGATAGGAGAATTGTTCATTTAGAAGTTGTCTGAATTTTCAGCCTCAGAGTCCTGCGTGTTTCTTCCCAAATACTGAACTCTGAACAAAATTCTCCACAGTTTAAACACACACACACACACACACACACACACACACACATACACACACCCCTGCTTCCCCTGCAATGGTATGATCTGCATTTGATCATAAACTGAAGGTACCAACTTGTGACAGCTCCCCGCACTCCACAGCCTTTGGCTACAGCTCAGGACAGCCCTGTGTTCAGTGACGGTTTCCTTTTCCACCAACAGGGTCAAATAGAAGTGGACAGCGAGACCATCTTCAAGTTAGCAGCCCTTGTTTTGCAGGTAAGAACTCGCCAAGACCCTCGGGCCAGCTCCCTTTTGTTTGGTGTTTTTGTTAACCGCCTGTAACTCTGAAACTTTTGCATGGGCAGCGCCTGATGGGTTTTTAAGTTGTGTGCCAGTGAAAAATGTAAGCCACTGTCTTCCACTGTAAAAGAGCTTTGCATGTGCTCTATATTGTGACATTGAGTATCGCCAAGAAAAATGAAATGTAGCCTGCTCTGGGGGAAAAGAGTTAAGACCATATTCCTGGAAAAGTGCTCTGAGGTACTTGAATTTGGGAAGCAGCAGTTGGCAGAACAGCTGTAATTTTCATTTAAATTTAGTAACTTTGGCGTACACGTTCTTGAGGTTGTGCAAGACTCTTAATTCGTAAAGGAATTAGTAGTCAAAAAACAGTCTGTTTCTATGCTCATTTAAACAGGGAAAAGAAAACATAGTACATGTTGATGTACTGTGTCTTGGTTTAAAAGGTCTGCAGCCACTCTACAAAGCGTGAATGGAAAAGCATTTGTCATGAGATCTTAGAAATGTAAAGGGAAAATAATGACCTGCATTTTTCCATATTTGTCTCTTCTGTTGACAACAAGAAATATTTCATGGACCCTAGCATTTTCTTACCAGTGCCACACTCTTGTCCTTGGCTGCAGGGAAAATGTCCCTTTCATACATTCCTTAACTCTAAACTCCTAAACTCGGGGTTGATGATGGGAAAATAACCAAGAGTGAATACTTCATTTAGCTTAGCATAAATACATATTGATCATCTGTCTTCTTTTTTTTTTTTTTTTTTCAGGAAGCCAAGGGAGATTACACCAGGTAATGATTTCTTTTCTGAGATTACTATGCAAAATAACCCTAGCTGAATCATTGTGTTATTTTAAATAACAATGGTTGCAAAATCCAAAGAAAGTAGACCCGGGGCCAGACTATCACCGCCTGAATAGAGACCGATGCTTTCTGTGAATGAATTGACAATGAACCTTTCTTACAATTTGTCTAGCCAGAGTGACAGTGAAGGGTGATCAGAAACTTTCCAGAGTTCTGTTTTCTATCATCCATTAGTTAGTGAGATGAAGAAATCTATAAAAGCTTCTGTAGCTTGTGTTGATTTTAAAAAAACGAAAAAAAACCTTGTAGTGGTCGTGCCTCTAAAGAGTTGTAGGGTATGCATGAAAAGATTAAATCCGTCAGCTGCTTAGTTAAGAGATTAACAGGGGCTTTTCTGGTGCAGCTGCCTTGACGGGCCTCACCCTTCACACACTTGACCTAACAAGGGTATTGCTTCTGAGACACTCACTGGCTTCTAACTGCTGCAGGCCACATCCTCAGCCTTTCTATTGGAATTTGCCCTGTACCTGCTCCCTTCCGTTCCTTAAATACAGTACAATGGGGGTAGGGAAGTAGGAGTCCATAAAGGTGGTTGGGAGGCCTCTGATTAGAAAGGCTCGCAGGCCAGTGACCCATTGAAAGCCTGGCTTCTATCCTGTTAATGTTCGACTCCTGGTAAACTTTACCCACAGATTATTTACAGATCACCTAGTGCTCATTCCCAGCCACGTCTCTGAACAGTGTGCTCCTTAACAAACTGATGAAATAATGCCTTCCGAGCCGGACTGCACACTTCCCGCCACTGGACACTCCAAGCACGCGCCTTGTCTGCCCATTCGGTTTGGTAAAGCAGTCGGGGTTGCCACTCAGTACACTGGCCCGCTCACCACCCTTCACAGAATTAGATATAGAAATGTAGATAGACAGACAGATACCATTTTGTTTTGAATTGAAAGAAAATAGGAATATTATTTTATAGAATGATGTATTGCCTGATTCTAGAATTGAAAATAAAGCCAACTAAGATCTTTAAAAACAAAAACAAGCTGAGTATGGTGACCCACGCCTGTAATCCCAGCACTCTGGGAGGCTGAGGCAGGAGAATGGCAAGTTCCAGCCAAGCTGGGCAACTTTACAACTATCTCAAAATCAAAATCATGGGCTGGGATGTATCACTGGGAAGGGGCTGAGTTAAATCCTTGCTATTGAACAAAATAAAATCGAAAGAAAGTAAAAAGGGATGGAAGGATAAATTTATTTCTAGATCGTTAGTAATATCAAGAGCTATTGTGCCTGAGTGTGACCTTCGAGGGAGAAGTCACATTCCTGGGACTATGGGGAGTGTGTGGAGTGTCCTCATTTTGTGGGGTGATTTGGGTCCCAAAGCTCATACCCTGCATTTGTTGATTAACAGCTCCTCCCCTGACCCCTCAGGGTCAAGCAGAGGCCTCACCCTGAGCCTCAGTTTCTTCATCAATAAAATGGGACCAACCCCATAGGACTGCAGTAAGAATTAAACGTATGCATATTTCCCAGGGCCCGCCTAGCTTTTTTTTTTTTTTTTTTTTTTTTTTTTTTTTTTTTTTTTTTTTTTTTTTTTTTTTTTTTTTGGTACCAGTACTCTAGCTCAGGACCTTGCGCTTTTGAGACAGGCACAGTACCACTGAGCTAAATCCCCAGCTCTTAAAAAGCATCCTAGGTCTATTCTGATTCTGTTGCGTGCTCCAACCTGTGCAAAAGCCCTGCTGCCACCCTAAAATGTAGATTTGACCATAGTTCTTTACTTCTGGAGTCTCCTAGTTTCCCACTGCACCAGAAACCTGCCCTTCAATAACCCACCTTGACGTTCGAGGGTAACTGGTCCACACTCTGCTGCTCCTGCTCCTCTACACCTGTCCATGCCTCTCTCCTCTTTCTCTTCCACATAACCCTGTGGTATCTGGCCTGCATCGTTTTGTTCAAACTCTTCTTCCCCAGATGCCTTTATGATTGTTTGGGGCTTGCAGTGCTGGGGGTTGCACCCAGGGTCTTGGGCATGCTAGTCAAGCTCTCAGTGTTCTCATCCTAGGATGCTTTCTGAAACTAGACTGTAATCGCACCACTGTGGGAGGCTGAAGCAGACAGGTCACAAGTTGGAGCCCAGCCTGGACGCAGGGGGAGGGACACGGACTCTTGGTTGTTTCGCTTCCTGGCAGGTTTGCTTCAGAGAATTTAAGTCAACATTATCGTAACTAGTAGGAAACCCTGCTCTCTGAAAGTTAATTAAAAGAGAGGAGTGGGGGGCTCCCATTGTCTTTAAATAGCTGACAGCCTGAATTTCCACGTCAGCCCTTACCCTGCAGAGATAAGGAGCTGCTGGGGTAACACAACCCAGGCAAAGGCGGAGAATTACTGAAAGCTGACCCAGGGAGAAGGAGAGAAACCTGGATCACTGAGCAGCCGAGCCAGCCGCAAGAGACTGTGAAAGCAGAGGGTTTTGTTTTAAGATCCCGGAAGTTACCAAGTAACTGTAATTAGGGTGCTGCTGTTTACCAGAGAAAAATGAGTGACTACAATTTTCAGTTCACTGCTGGGGTAGAATAACAGCGTCTACAACCCACCTTCAATTGTAAAGGAAATATTCCCAATTTGCAGCTGTGCTGTAAAAATGCATCTATTTCTCGCAGGAAGGGAGCTTCTCTGGATGCCCTTAGAATAATAGTTCAGTGAAGGAAGAAAACAAAAATCAAAGGCCTGTAAGAAATTTGCCCCCCTCAGTTCTTATAGCCCTGAAACACAGCTCTACAATATAATTTCATTTCCAGGACCTTCAAAGTGAGTTGAAGTGGGAAAAACAACAGCTCAGCTGGGCATAGTGGCAATGTGCCTATAATCCCAGCACTCTGGAAAGCTGAGGCAGGAGGCTCACAAGATTAAGCCCAGTCCTGTCAACTTCATTAATTTTTTTTCTTTTTATTTAGCTTATTGGTACATTTTAGGTATACAATACAGTTACATTCATTATTGGGATCTTGTACCTTTACATGACAGGTCTTGGTTCTTATTTTTTCCCCTTGTCCCTGCCCTCCCTAAATTCATGATTTTGTGAGAAACATTTCTCAAAAAAAAGGTGGGGGGGAGTACTGGAGATATAGCTCAGTGTAAGAAGCCTAGGTTCAGTATTCAGTACAGTAAAGGAAGAAGGCAGTCAGGCAGGAGAGAGGGAAGAAAGGAAGGAATGGAGGGAGGGAGAGAGGAAGAACAGATGGATGGATGGACAGATGGACAGACCGCCCGCCCCAGGGATCAGGTGAAGAGTACCTGCATCAGTTTAGGGGTGAAGGTGAAAATGGAGCTTTAGAATTTGACTGGATTCAAATCCAGGCCCAGACCCTTGGTGGATAATTGTGGGTAACTGACCTACGTTCTGTGTACCTCAGTTTGTCTCCATTAACATTCCGTTGTTAACAATGGCGCCGCTGTTGTTGAAACCTTTCATCCTCACACAATCCCGTGAACACAGACGCTGTGCTTGTCCCCATCTTCCAGGTAGGAAAACTGAGCTTTGAAGCCTCCTCTGGCCCAGTGGGGTTTCATGGTTTGTGTGCTTGACTACTGTTAGGAGTTGCCTTGTGTCTCCAAGGAAACACAGCCTTGTAAGAGTCATTCGTAAAGCAAGGTAACTTAAAAGAAATTGAATATGACCGTCTGCCGGTCTTATTTTATTTTATTTTTTTGGTACCGGGGATTGAACTCGGGTCTTTATGCTTGCAAGGCAGGCCACCAAATCACTGAGCTAAATTCCCAGCCCCTGCTGGTCTTATTTTAGTCGGGGACTTTGATACATCAAAAATTCCCTTTTGTGAACAACAAGCAGCATCTCCACAGTCCTCGGTCCCTGATGTCTGAGCCCTCTCTGGACTAGTGGCCCTCCCGTCCTTAACCGCAAAGTTTTGCTAGGAATGAAGGAGTTTGCATTTCATGGACTGCATATTGTGCATTTCACAATACTTTGCTTCCATAGCATAAATGCTAAATGCAACTCTGAAAACCAAAACCCCAAGTCCCACTTCAGTATATCTCTAAACTGCTAAGCCCATGAGCATCAGCCCTGGGCCGGAGGTGGCTCTCTGGCCCTCTTTGGGTTGTTTCTCTCCACACTAGAGCAGCTAGCTATGTAGGTCTGAAGTGAATCAGCCCCTTTGTCCTCTTTGGGCACTGGCTGGGGCAGGCTCCGTATTTATTTAGTATGAAGAGATTAGCATGACACAGACTGCCCGCCTCCTCAGGGTGCAGACATCCAGGGAGGACATTGCGGGGAGGACTCCTATGAGCCCTCGTTGATAGCTGTTTCAGTGCCTTTCAGTGTGGTTCTAGAAGCACTGAGTGCTAACATAACACACAGCACAGTGCTGTTTTCTGTGTTCATACAGTGAAAGCGGTTGATCTGGGTTTTGTGTGAACAGGAAGGACGCCCCGAGTGACACAAGCAGGTAGAAGGGCTAAAGCTTTGCCTATTCAAGTTGACCGCACATAATTTTCACTTGTCCAGTGGCAAGTTTCCCAGGAGAGCAGCAGATTCCTTAATGTCCATTCCTTGATAGGAAAGCACAACTTGTATTGGTTCATTTTTTTCTAAGTGCGCATTTTCTAATTCTAGATGTAAGCGAGAGGAAATATTTTTAATCACTATAAAAATATACATCATGTAAAATTCACTATCTCCACTTTTTCTTGCTGACAGTACTAGGGATTGAACTCAGGGCCTCTGCAATGAACTTCCTTGTTGGCCACGTTTTTATTATTTTTTATTTTGAGACAGGCAGATCTTTGAGTTTGATCTTTCCATCCTCCAGTCTGAGCCTCTCACGCACCCCTGGTCCGGGCTCATCTCCACCAGTTGAACACAGATCAGTAGCACTATGTGCATTTACCTTGTTTTACAACCAACCCCCAAAGTTCTCATTTTGCAAAACTGAAACTCTGTACCTGTTAAACAATTCCCTATC